TCCATATTCAATATTTCAGGAGAGAACATATATAAAAATACTGAGAAGGCAAAAAATAAAAGAGCCGGCAGTTACGTCGCTGCAAGTATACTGGAAACGTGTAGAACAAGGCACCCAACAACCACACACCTTGCCGTGCCCAAACAGCCACAGCAGCAGTACATGCTGTCAGAAAACAGCACCCAATTCAAGGAGCAGGGTCAACAAATCCTCAAAACCCCAAATTCATGACTGATTCCAGAACACAAGCTTTGCTTACACTCCTAAAGGCTCATCTTGCAAGGCAAAATATGGGAACACAGAGACCTAGACAGAAAAACAATGCATCCTACAAAGAACCGTGCCACTTGGAATTTCTAAACACCATAAATTGAAATATTCTGGCCAGCTGGAACTCTGCTTTAATGTTTTTCCCAGTTCTTAACATAATGAACTACGTATAATTTAAATGGAGATTAATTCTTCCGTTTAGAGTGCTTTAAAATAATTCTGCCTATGCTTGAGATCGCAGCCCCGCTCCTCCACAGTGCCTTCCCTCCAGTCTTCCTTGAGCCACCTAAGTGGAACTGACAGATCACTGCTCAGATAGCAGCCACGTTCTTCCCCCAAAATGTTGCCTTTTTGCTATTCAGGAGTATCCTAATACCAACAAATGCTAAATGAAGTCTGACATGTACCCCTAAGAAACAAACTTGTAAGTTGTGGCTTCAAAGAAAACCTTGAATAAATAGGACACGTTGTGTACACCCAGGCTAACATCCAACATATGCTCTGGTTTGCTGATGCCGAGACGGAGCAAGAATAGCCTCTGGTCAATCTGTGATTTGCTCTTGCTGGTGCTTCCAACATTTATAATGTACCTTCTTGTTTTATCATTATCTGTGCCTGTATAAACCATTTTTTAAACGTAATTAAGACGACCACAGCGGCACTGCAGAACACAACATCCTCATGAATAATGGATTATTTGGCACGCCACTGGTCTGATCAACAATTACAAGGCAAAGAGCACTCCTGATCTTTCTCTGGAAGAGAATGTTGCCACCAGTAAGGCATAAGTGGGCACGTGCCTGTATCAGAAAAAGATAAAAGGATAGTTTCAGTTTTTCCCTTGGTGGGGGCGACCAACGTGCCCAACAGCGAGACGCGGCTAGTGCGTGCCGTTAACAACTACAGGTACCAAGAAGGACGCGAGACGGGATGGGAGAAAGGCAAGAAAGCACAAAGGCATGTTTAACTGCACATACACAATCAGCTAAGACATGTCATTCCCAAAAGGCCAACTTATTTATCCGTTATTTAGGGGAGACAGAAGGGATGGACAGAGAAGATAAAGATATGACCCACTTGAAGACACACGCACACACATATATATATTTTCCCTCCATTATTTAATGCTCTATTTTACGACTAATCCTTCAACTCCTCTTACTTCTCTGAGAATTCAACCTTATCACCCCCTTCCCTAATTTAGGTTCAATTCCCTTTGCCTTTTGTCCTCTGTTCCTCCAGATTTCGGGCGTGAAAGTATACCATTAAAGTTTGAGTGCAGTAATGCACAAGATCCAAAGTGTGCTTGCTGAAACGTGATGACTTAACCCAGATTTCCTGTGGGCAGCACACAGGTGAACTGATCACAATACAATAATTAACATGTCACACCACGGCGTGAGGCGTCTCCCCCACGGGCTGCCCTACAGAGGGGTCACTACACACAAAATCTAATTCTGGAACGGGGCGTGTTACAAATTAACACTGTAGTTGGGAAGTTTTTATTCTGGATTAGGTGCAGCCCCAAAAGCACCCAAACGTGTATTATGAACTTAGTAATTTGCGGCGTCAGTCCTTCAGAAAGGCTTTTCTTCCAGGTTTGGTGAAGCTTTGAGAATTCTTAAAATTCTTCACTGCAAAACGGCATTTCCTTGAATTCTGCATTAAGATGTGGATAACCAAGCTGCAGCCTTGTAAGAAAAGCCAGATCAGCCAGACACACTGGTGTGAAGCAGCAGTGTCACTGGCAGCGAAACTTCCCGTCTATTTTTGATCTCCCCACCACATCAGCCCGAGCCCCGCCAGCGTGGCGGCCGTTCCCCCGAAGGACAGCTGCCAAGTCTCTGCCAGCCACCCGACTACGCAGCTTGTACGGGTAAACAGGCTGCTCAACCCTCCTGCCCACTAAACTGCTCTTCCATTACTGCACACATTTCCCTTCTCCTCCAGCTGACACTCCTTTGGTTCCCATCCGCAGAGCGGTCGGATGGGATCGCTTGGGAATTGCAGGGTTGGCTGCCCACTGCTTGGGAAGGCACCAGAGCCCTCGGAGACATCTCAGCCGTGCAGCTGAGCAGCCGGCTGCTGCACAGGGGGTTGCCAGCAGAAGACTCACACGGTTCGTGGGGCTGAAGTTTCGTTCACGGCAACACAGTTTAAGGCAATTATTCGCCCAAGAAACTTGACGGCTGATTTTAAGGACGGTAAACGTGTATTTTTAGAGTGCTGGAGCAGTAAACAGCTATGATACAGCCAAACTATCTATTTAATCAGAAAAACCTTCAATAGATTATAAATAGATTTCAAGTTACAGTGCTCTTATGAGAAGTGTAATTACAGTTAAGAGAGCCACTTCGTTCTCCTTGCACGCTCCTGGGATCCCTTGCAGCAGTCTGAGGGACAGCATATGATAATGACAACATAAGTCTGGATTACTTCTAGGTATGCTATTTACAGCAGCTCTTGCTACAGTACACAAAATCACCACATCGTCCCATGACAAATTTTGCTTCTAAACCTCTTAATACCTTTAGATCTTAAAAATCAGCCAGAGAAGATGCAGTCTCTGTCAGAGAGGTAAAAGTCACATCCATCCTTTAAGCCTCATCCTACACATACATATAATTTTGTTCGTTCTACTGGGCTCTGCATGAGACAGCTTGCAATTATCAACGCGTGCTTTTGCCAGAAGCCTCGTAAATACTATCTGAAGCCAGTGTGTTTCGGGAGTCCCTCCCACTTCTCCCCAGTAAAAAGCCCCTATTGATAAGCTGATGAATAGTGTAAATGCGGTTCTACAAAGGGAAAAGAACTACCTTTATAATCAACTTTGTGTGAAGACCTTTCCGGCTGCCAAAAGGTCAGAAACTACAGCTTCAGGTAAAAATGAACTAGAACTGCAGCACTAGTGAAGTGAAGCCGTGTTTCAGCCACGCGCCCTTTGGAGGGCTCAGCCGATGCTTTGTGCCCTATCCTGGACACACCTGGCAGTCAGCATTACCCGGCAGCCCCACCACAGTTTTACCAAAACTTTCTGTCCTGGAAGAGGACTGGAGAAGGGGGAACACCAACCTAATTAAAAACACACCATGAAACAGTGTAAAAGTCTGATGCAAGGAAAAAACACGCCCTATTCTAGAAATGCCACCATAACCAAGCGCATGGAGCCACCAAGGCAGAACCCCCGGCACCCCGGCTTAAGCAGCGAGCTTCCCGCGTTGGGAATTCACAGGAGTTCACTATTTTTTAAAAAGGTGAAGTTCTGACAGTTTGGGGATGTAACTTAGAACCACGAATGGTTTGGGTAAGAAGGGACCTTAAAGACCTTAAAGCCCCCCCAGTGCCGCCCCCTGCCATGGGCAGGGACACCTTCCATAGCCCAGGGTGCTCCAAGCCTCATCCAGCCTGGCCTTGGACACTCCCAGGGATGGGGCATCCACAGCTTCTTTGGGCAACCTGTCCCAGTGCTCCCACCCTCTGTAGGAAGAATTCCTTCCTGATGTCCCATCTCCATCTCCCTCTTTCCGTTTAAACCTGTTATCCCTTGTCCTGTCACTCCCTGCCCTTGGGAAAGTCCCCCCCAGCTTCACATGACATCCGCAAGCAGAGACACAGCAGCTTGGATACGGCTCGAGACACCTGTCCATCAGCACAAACACAAATATTCCAGACAAGGAACGTTTCTAGGAAGCCATTTGCCAAGGAGAAGTAAACCTGCACCAATTTTGTTTCAGATCCCCTTGTGCGTCTGCACAGACGGAAGGGACAGAGCTAAGAAATCCTTGGCTTGGCAGTCGCTCCGCGGCCCACGGCGCGCTGCCGGGGACTCAGCGCTGACTTGCTGCCCAGGGCCAGGCCAAGGGGCTCACCCCTTCCTGCGTTACGGACGAGAACGACTCTCCTTCCGAACACGAATACACATCAACACTCTGAATGGGAAAATTGCTACTTCCAGCCAGCTGCAGTGAGTTCTATTAAGTCATTCTATTTTGAATGGACGTCAAAAGACCTGCAGAAAGTGTCTTTATTTTCTCCCACTCACAGAGAATCAGTGTCTGAGTGTTATACACAAACATACCCAGACCAAGCTGATAGAATACATTAAACAACTCGAGCTGGAGGCATTTTTCCTCTCGTGAATTTATAACCCTTGATTTAAAGGGGTTTTAACAGAAACCACTCATGACTCCTAGCATTCTCGAGGATTTTACTATAATTACAGCGAGCGCTGTCTTTGCGGAGCGACCAGTCCGACGGGCGATACCACAAGCGACGGAACCAGGCCGCATCCAACCCACAGCCAGGTCAGCTGGGTGGATTTGAAGTTATTTGCAGGGTGGAAGCACCACAGCAAACCATTCAACATCACGGGAAGGACGACGCTTTCTTGACTTACACCTCACAAGCGTTCTGCCCGAGAGGCGCACGGCAGAGTCACGCGCGGCCGGAAAGTTGCGGGGAACCACCACGCCACTAGAATGTTTTCACCTACCACTAACCCTACAAGCCAAGAAAACTCCTTATGTATTTTTTCCTACATCCTGCAAGTTACTGCCACAAAAAACTTAATTCATCTACCAAATCAATGCTTACGACGCAAGTGGAGTCGACTTCAAGGTGGCCTTCTTCCCTCTGGAAGGTCAACGCACGTGACCTGCAGTTGTGTGTGTGCGTTCCCCCTCAGCCCCCCAAAAGCACAGCCCAAGCAGTAACGAAGAGAGGCAACATACCGTCGTAGTAGACAATAGCTCCAACAAGCTCGTCTTTGCGCAGCATCGGAAAGAGCTCCAAGGCTCGTGCCTTGCTAAGGACGTAACTGCTTTTCAGACACTGACTTCCGGCCACGATGTCGTACAGCTTTATTCCAAACCAGTAGTACGGCAACTGCCACCACCTGCAGGGAGAAAACATGCCCCGTGAGGCGAAAGAAGTGCCTGCACACCGTCACTGTAATGCGGAACGTGTCAAGGAAGACAGGGTGTTGGATCGCAGCAGCTTCGCTTTGTGCCATCGCGCAGTCACGGCACCACAGTTAAACCACGACGTGTGTGCTGAGGGAAGAACCAGGCTGCGTGTGCACGCTGGAAGGGCCCCTCCAATGCACATCTCAACTAACGCCACCTGCCCCAACGGGACCAAGCAAGTGCAGCTGACCCCTGAGCTCCAGCTATCACAAGCCCCTTCTACTAGGGCAGGGCTAAGAGCATGCATTAAGATCATCCAGCCAAAACTCGCTGCTCTAAGGAGCCTGTTACAGGGAGTACCTGTTCTCACAGACCTGCAAACCCAACCCAAATCACTTCAAGTCTCTCTCATACAAGAAGCAAACAGTTCTCTCAACACCCAACTGCCACGTGCCGGGAAGGCGACTGCACCGAGCGCCGGAGGGTGTAGGGACCACACAGCACATCGCTCAGGTCGCTACGAGAGCGTGTGCTGAAGAGAAGGATGTGCTGGGAAAAACGGCAAACATCCTGGGAACATTCCAGCCGTAAACTCCCCTCGTCCGGCGTGGCAGAAACGCACGGAGCAGCTGAAGCCCAGGATGTGTTCCTGGCTAGCAGCGACGGCTGCTCGGTGCCGCTGACAATCCCGTGCTTCTACACCGCCCCAACTCATGAGCCACGAAGCCTGGGAGAGGATTAAAGACAGGCTTGGGAAGAGGCACCTGGAAGCTACTCCAGGGCAACGGCCCGCTTGTCGAAAGCGAGGGCAGAGGAGAGAGCAGGGCAGAGCTTACTTGTAAACAGGCAGCATTATCGGCAAAGGAGCCGAGAGGTGAGGGGCGATTTCAAGCAGATTCGCACGCTCCTCGAGGGCTTCTTTCACCATCCTGTACTGAAAAACAGAAGTGTACACGTGAACCCCAAGTTGCTCCGTTTGGTCCCCACGTGCAGCAGTCAGGAGTTTATCAAAGCAGGTACCTTGTGTAATTTTTACTGTTCTTTCAAAAAAAAAAAAAACCCACACCGAGATTGGCTGAAAAATTCAGAAGTTAAGAGAAGTGTTAGAAAATTAAGTTTCACTAGTTTCATTTTGGTGTTCAGATAATTCTTCATCTGAATGCCAAGGGCAGTGAGCGGCGTTACCCCTAACTACGGGCAGGAGGCACTTCAGGAGGGCTGGAAGCCCTCCCACGGCACAGCTCCTGCGCGATCCCCACAGTTAAATCCCGCGCTAACTCTGCGTGCGAACGCAGGAGCGTTCCTCTCCAGATCGATCGACAGGAATCAATACGGAGTTCTCCTCTGGCAGGAAGGAAGGCTGATTTCTACAGCTGGGTAACTGCACGCTGGGTGTATTTTCCCTCACGAAGTCGCCGTTTCCGTAGCAGCATTATAACCACGGAAACACACTCTACCTTAGAGAGGTTTCAACGAGAAACAAATCAATTTCTCAAACCAAGAACATCACGCTTCCACCAACACAAGAATACATAAAAGCATTTATATCTAATCACTCACCATATTTTCTTTCCCCATTCCAAAATAAACAGGACAACCACTCCCTCCCCCAAATTCTGATCATGACGGATGGGAAGCTCTTTTTATCCTGAAGCCAGCCCGGACTCGGCCTGCCTTCCTCAAAACATACGCAGAGCCCACCAGGTAGGGCAGCTGGACTGACCACAGCAGAGATGAGCAACCGGCAGCAGCACCGGCTCCCCTGGTCTGGGAAGCGCAACTGGAGAAGCAGCTTTGTCTGCAGTGGCTGTGGAATAAAGTCAAGTACTGAAAAAATAAAAAGGAGCCTGGGCTATAATTGGGATAAGGGAAGTGTCTACTAGCAATTTTTGCTTAACAACCAGCATAAACAATTACCTGCTCAAAATCCAACTTCATGATGGCCTTCTGAAGATATCTCACTCCACCATGGATCAATTTAGTGCTCCTGCTGCTGGTCCCCGATGAGAAATCATCTCTTTCTAGAAGGGCTGTTTTTAGTCCTGTGTTACCAGAAAACCAAATTAACTTCTTAAATTACACAATTTGTATGTAATTCATTAAAGACACTTCTCTAGGGTAGAGACAATCGCAAGAAAAATTACTCTGTACATGGATAAATTTGTATTCAAAGTGTAGTGCACCGTCTATATTGTAATGAAAAATTTTAGCCTCCTTCCTAAGGGAAAAGTCAAAACAGAACTTAAACAGAAGCACATTAAAACCTGGGTATTTCACAATAGAAAGGCATTACAGTACATTATAGGGGCCACGCTCCCTCAAGCGAATTACGGTCCGTATTCATGGCAGAACAGAGTGTTTTCATGAATACCTTTAACTCTTTGCAGCAGAGCACTCTAAACCTGTGACACCGACAGTTCAAAGAGCAGACCAGAGAGGCAGGCATCTGGCATTTGGTGGCTACTCAGGCTGCTTCAGAGGTGCCCACAGCCAGAGCGGAGCCAGCCACGGGCACGCTCGCCAGCGAACGCGACGCACACGCACAGCATCCTGCGTAACCACGAAACTGTTCTCTAACGAGGCTCAATACAAAAGGTACCAGCTTGCCTACCTAGGAAGTGCAGCGAAAGAGAGCTTACTGTGCGCGTAAGTAAACCCAGCCAAGACCAAGGACACACACAAGTTACCAGCTTGCCTACCTAGGAAGTGCAGCGACAGAGAAGTTAAGTCCATCCGCAGCTTACTGTGCGCGTAAGTAAACTCAGCCAAGGCCAAGGACACACATGTGGAAGGACAAGCTGTGTTGCAGCAGTTAGCAGACCCCTCCATCACCGGCAGAATTTTAAACTTAGGCAGGCAAGGCAAGTGAATTAAAATAAAGACGCTCCCACTTGCCTACCTAGGAAGTGCAGCGACAGAGAAGTTAAGTCCATCCGCAGCTTACTGTGCGCGTAAGTAAACTCAGCCAAGGCCAAGGACACACATGTGGAAGGACAAGCTGTGTTGCAGCAGTTAGCAGACCCCTCCATCACCGGCAGAATTTTAAACTTAGGCAGGCAAGGCAAGTGAATTAAAATAAAGACGCTCCCAAAGCCAACAGCAACACCGTGACGACGCTCACCCAAGAAGAGCATTGTTAGAAGTCACCCCCTGCATCCTCCCTTTGCCTTTGAGGGGCGCTTCATGGGTTTGGTTGGTGAAAATACATTTTAACATCCACTGGTCTCCCGAAACTTTTGTGTCCTTAAAAAAATATCTAATTATTACTGGTAACTTCCAAAGATCAGAGTAATTTATTTTTGTCAGATGTGACTGAAGATTAATGGATACCATCAGAAATAATTTGGTGAAGATGTATCAAACAACAACAAATTTTGCTTTTCACATAAGTGGAAAAGAGCAAGTTCCATGAATGAACAACAACAATACTCAAGTCATTAACCAAATGCCTAGGAATATTTCACACTTCAGAAATCTACTGATGTAACCAGAATACCCAGTAACAGGATAAGCAGAGATCACCTGTAACAATTTCTGTATACTTCACAACTGCATCTGCTACCACAATGTAGCAGAAGTGCAAAGATCCCCGTTAACAACCAGATCTGAGTTGGTGTGTACCTACTAGTGGTGCAGCCCTTCCCGCTTTATCCATTTCAGAATTCCTACACCTTCCAGACAAGTTGTTTCAAAAATCAAGCTACAAAACACTCCTGGAGTCAGGTTTTGTCTCTTATTTCTGAGGTATACCTACAGGTTAAAGAACCTGAAGAACTTCAGGTCCACCTACTGCGTTTTACTGGGGGGGGTTATTTATTTATTTTCACTCCAAATGCAGAAACAAGGTCTACAAACACAGAAACTAAGGAAGGTTGGTTCTCTCTCTTGGCCAATCGTACTGAAAATAACAGCTGAGAGAACACATTCCAAGAGAAGCTTCTCTCACAAACCTTTTACAGAGCTTTTTGGATAAAATGATGATATTCTGGGGGAAGAGAGCACTTAACAGAACAGGAGTTGATGCTACAGCCCCTCCTGCAGAAACAGTACCCCTGCATACCATCTCTGCGCCTGAAGACCTACTTTCATTAAACTTGTAAAATGATCTATTCACTCTGGGAACTGTCAAATTTGTTAGAACTTGCTGGCCAATTTGCTGGTTACTGAGTGAGGCAGGTGACACCGAGTGGCCAGGAGCATCCTGCTTTTTCACCCTCTCAGCAGAGCTTTTCCCCCATCTGACCAACCTCATGAGCTACGGGGCAACATCTGCACATCTCCAGGGCAACAACCGACTGTCACCTCACACGTTCTCAGCCTCCTGCACAGCTCAGGGAAAAAGCATTACGCTTAAACTCAATTTACAGAGAGCTCAAGGTAAAATGAGTCTACACATAAAGTTAACATCAATTCTGCAACTGCCAGTGGCAGTGTAACCCAGTTTCACAGCTAATCCCCCAAAAGAGCGGAAACCTGAGCACAGATCTGAATGTACCTTCAGACTGAAGGGTGCTGGTACCTTTGACTGCAAATCCCAACAGACCTCTCAAACCTGCAGTGTACTACGCAGCTACAATGCCTCAGCAGAAGCTGTGGATATCTCCTGTTATAAGGAATGAGAGTGGGGAGACACTGAGCCACTCCTTCAGAATTCACGCTTGGCCCTCTCAAAACAGTTGCTGAAAGCGCTGTGCAAGTGCAGCCTGCTCTCTGGAGATACTCTCCTGCACCAACCAGGGCAATGTGACTGACTACAGATGAACCCAGTAAGGAGCAACAGAGAACGAGAAGTCCATCCAAGAGCATCCAGCAAGCAGGTCTGTTAGAGAACTGCATACAAGCACCTGGAGAATAACAGACTCTGCTGAAACAGCAAAATGCAATTATTCTCTTCTTTGAGCTCATTTTCACTTCTGAGAACAGAAGAAAGCTTTATAGCCAGGCATGCAGAGTACACCCCCTCTACCTTCAAGCACTTCTGAAAAGCCAACCTGATGAATTCATTATAAGCCATGTAATCCAAGAACAAGAACACAACAGAATTCCCAGGCCTTACCTCTAGTGACAGCATCTAAAGCGCAGCCACATCCTGTTGCTCCTCCGCCGATAACAAGGACATCAAACTCGCCTGTGGTTTGCAGCGCCAGAATCTGCTCTTCTCTCGTGGGGAAACGGTCCTTTATTGGCACAGTCACAGCTTCTGCAGCCTGAACATGCACAAAGGCACCCTACAAAGGTTAAAACCAACTCATGAGGATCTGTACTTATGGTGTACACACACCCCCTAATCACAGCATTTCTATAACCGGAAAGATAAACTCTGATGTTCCCAATCACTTGACCCATGTTTAATAATAATATTGTATTAAAACATCACGGAGCAACAAACACTACTAACACCATGAAGGGTTAGCACACGTGTGCTTCATCTGCCTACTGCCATATAATCACAGAACCACGAACGGTTTGGGTGGGCAGGGACCTTAAAGCCCCCCCAGCCCCACCCCCTGCCATGGGCAGGGACACCTTCCATAGCCCAGGGTGCTCCAAGCCTCATCCAGCCTGGCCTTGGACACTCCCAGGGATGGGGCATCCACAGCTTCTCTGGGCAACCTGTCCCAGTGCCTCCCCACCCTCTGCGGGAAGAATTCCTTCCTGATGTCCCATCTCCATCTCTCTTTTTCCGTTTAAATGATGCCGTACTCAAGTGCTACCACCTATGTTACTTATATCTAGGAAAAGTCTTCCGCTATGGCAGACATTACAGGAAGCTTGGGAAGTTTGTTAATAAACAGATGCCTGTTGAGGCTCTCAACTCTCCCTCAAAAAACCCATCGAAGCAAAGGACTTACAGATGAATGTACATTTCATATCCACCAATTGATTTCCTGTACAGTGGCATTAATCTAAGCTCCCGCATGATCAGACCGATGTGGTTTACTGTCAAACACAGTACACTTCAACACCAGCCAAACACTATTTCCACATCCTCTTTAAAAATTTTATAAAAGATTTATATCCTACAGCATGCTAAAACACGACTTCTCTTCAACGTGACAAAACTTGATGACGTGGCGGTTTCCAGAGAAGTTCAGATTTCACCGGAAGGGCTTTGAGGTCTCCAGCACCCCGATACTCCACCCGCCAGTGCTGCTCTTCACTTCGCGACGGTGGTGAGGAAGGCTGACACGCTCCGCCAGCTACGACGGCCCGCGGTGTGCAAGTGAAGGTTTTAAGCAGCCTCTGAAGGCTCTCTTAGCTGCCGTTAGTTTAAGTGAATTCTGAAACCCTTCACAGCTGCGGGGGTCCCCACACCCTGGTCACACAGCGCAAACACTGATGGGAGGTCCCAGTGCCACAGGAGGGGTTCACACTCCCCACACTGACCGCAGACACCGTGGGCTGTAGGCAGGGATCGGTGTTACTCTCACAGTTCACCAGGGTGTGAGACCCCAGAAGTCACACCTGCTGTCTCTCCTTGCTTTCTGCTCCACCTCTGCTTTTTGTGCCAGCAGTTCTCCCAAATTTTCTTCATTCACCATTGTCCCTCATTCCGCACAAAATCAAGTGGATCTCACTGCCATTTTTTAAGCCCCAAAGGGCCCATCTTTCCCACACGAGAGCAATCCCTCGTACGCAAGCGTCCCTGGCAGACGAAGCACCCGCAGTGCCATACGAGAAGGGTCGTTGAGGTACGGACCACCGAGCCAGAACACCCCAGCACACCCCAGCTCGGCAGCAGCCCCCCCCACGACAGACCATCGCCTGAGCCAGCTCCTTCAGAAATAACCAGGGTCCGGTGACCCGAATTCCGTTTGCTGAGAGGAGGGGTTTAGGGGCACCGAGCACTTCCAAGGAACTGCTTCAGCCCCCTCTGATTTGAAATACGGATGAGAAAACAAATTAAGGCCAACACTACGCAGACAAGGAGACCAGGACTAACTGGCTGCCTCAGAAGGGATCAAAATAAACCAACAGGAAATTACGAATTAACGTTTTCAGAGTTTACTGAAAATTATCAACACTTCTGACGGAAGAAAAGCCTGTTTAAATGCTACAGTCTAAGGTCTGAGCATAAACCAGTCTTCAGTGCAAACGGCAGCTTTAACTGACCTAAAACAGCTGGTGTCCAGACCTCCTAGAAAGCAAATTCTGCCTAATTCCCACTCAAGCGACAAAACACAAACTACTACTTTCATACTAAACCCATCTATCTGTCTAATCTCTTTCCAACCTCTGCAAGGAAGCTTCCATTTGAGTTTATACTTCCAAACATTCCCTGAATAAGCTGAATTAGACAAGCTGCTATTTCTGTAACCCCACAGCCTATTGCACTGTTAACAGCCAGTTACGACGGGCACAGACACAGCTCCTAAGCCCAGTCCCACAGACACACCAGCACACGCACCGCGCTGTTCCATGCTCACCCAGCCCACGGGGCGAGTTTCCCAGATATCCACTCCCAGACCGCTGCCAAGCTGCCCGCTAGTGTAACCCACCTCCAGCTCTTAGGAACTCCAGCCCCCTTCCCCAGCCCTCGCCTCGGGAATATTTACCTGCCGCAGCAGAAGAGCTGGCCTGACCAGAGGTATCTCCGTCGCCTGCCACCACCGGTGCACACGCGCCGCGGGACGGGAGCGGACCTCGCGCCTTAAAGCTGAAAGCGACCCTTGCAACGCGCCCGCTGTAAACAGAGGGCCCGTCCAGCCACGCACAAGAAGCCTCAACTCGGATTATACGCTGCATACAGCCTAAACACTTTTGTCCAAAATTATCTGCTCGTTCTTTGGCAGAGCTACGATCGACACGCGTTATTTCTCACTGTTCCTGTGGCTGGTGTGCTGCTGAAAATAAAGTCCAGTACACGTCTAAAGGAAGTGCGTATTCCAAAGATAATTAATGATCAAGTTCATCCTGTAATCATGGATTATATTGACTGTAATGCAAGTTACTCAGGAGAGCAGCAACCGCTTTCGCTGCACGCCTGTTACAACTCAATCCATCAGGAGAGCTGGACCAGAGTGCTTCACTTCACTGTAAGGATTTATGTCTTCCCCAGAATAAAGACTTAAAACAACCAAAGTCTGGCAAAAGCTGCAGTAGAACCACTGATTTGTCCAGAGCACAGCGCTCGTGGTTCCTGCTGGGGTCACCTCCAGGCCGGGCAGCGCCGGGGCACGGCTCAGCTCGGCACGAAGCGCCCAGGCACCCTGGGCTCTGTCACCTCACGGACGCACAGTAACAAGAGGTCTCCTCATTAGACGCTCGTTAACCTACTGCAGCCCTCAGAGGCATACGGGTTTCTGCAGGGGTCTACGGGACCCCTGCCCACCTCCGGCACGGCGCCACACGGGCATCCCCTCGGGAAGGGGCCGGGGAGGCAGCACACGGAGGGTTTTTCCCTCTCGAATACCTGAGGGCCGTGACAACGCTGCAGGGTGCCGGGCTGCGCAGCCAGGGTTACTGCCCGGCTTCCCACGCGGTCTCTGCTCTTCCCCCGGTAAGCTCTTGCACGGAGCGCGCTTTTTGGTGCTGCGGCACTGCCGAGCACAGCAGGCAGCTGATGCCAACTTCCCGAAATACCCCTGAACAGGGACGAGAAGGAAACCCAGATCAAAAGCACCCACGGCTTAGCCTTACATGTGTTTTGGTTGAGCCCCAAAAGTTCAGCTACATACACTCAACTTTCTAAAAACCTTAAAAAAAGTGGAAATCTCCACCCTAGAATCAGTTTTGCACTTCGCTGCCCGCTCCAGGGGCTCTTTTCACAGCGCACAGCTTCAGGGGAACGAGGGCACGCAGGGAAAACAAAGCTCACAGCTCGAGAGCTACTGGTACCCGCTGGGCTTTACTGCTGCTGTCTGGTTTTCAGAGGGGTTACGCAGGACGGACGGCCTGCGCAGCAGACGGGAGCGCCAGGCAGAGAGCCGCTGGCAGAGGAGAGCGCCGAGATTAGCGCGGAAACGCACGCGGCGCGATTAGCGCGCGAGGAATTGATACAGATATGATTCATCGTGCTGTCAATTAAGCGCGAGCGCGAAGAAAAGCTGCGCAGAGGGATCCCATCTGCAGGAACGTGATTAGTTTGGCAGTGAACAAGTATGTTTACTGAAATAAGCAATTGCTGTTTATATCTACAATTTCTCAGGCAAGAGTTCCTTGAATGGGCTTGATTACACTCTGAGCGAGAGGAAATTCAGTGTGGCAGTCTGAATTCAATCATGAAGTTATAAAGTGATCTAGTAATCCGTACGCAAGCATTCTTGTTAATTTGCTAATGTAAATCTCCAGGAAGGTTTTGCAGAGTCAAATTCATCATCCTCACTCATTTCAAAAAAGGACAAAGAGGAAGTAATTAAAACACCCAAAAGCAGGCCCTGGTGCATTATCATATCATCAGACTCAACCGGATTCACCTTCGTGAGCAATTCTACTGACCAGCAATGCATGGACACACCAAAATGAGGATTGTCTGCTGGGGTCAGTCAGGAAATGACAGCAATCCCTTACAGCCCCACAACAAAGGAGTGCTTTTTCCTTCAATGGGGTGGGGGGGGTTCGAAATTATTAGTGGTTTCCAATTCAAACCTGGCACATCAGAGAATGCCCACATCATATCTAGTGCTAACCCACTTACCACACAGCGGGTTGGGAGGGACCTCAAAGCCCC